GATTCCGTGAACCATCGTTCCCTACTTGAAAAGCTGTCATGGTTTGGGATACATCCCCAGCTGTTGAATTGGATAGCGGAATTTCTTTGCAAGAGTTAGAATCGGTGACTCCTGCTCAAGTGAGGATACCGCTCACAGCGGTGTTCCTCAGGGCTGTTTTAGGCCCGCCGCTGTTTTATATATATCAATGATTTGGCTCCGTTGCTGTAACTTTGCAGATGATGTAAAACTTGTAAATAGGGGCGATCGACGTACCTTTTCCAAAGATATTTGCACTGTAGCGAGATGGACTTCCTCATGGGATTTGCCCCTTAACGCAAGTAAATGTCAGTTGTTATCTTCCTGCAATGATGGGGTTACAATGCAAACTACTGTCGGCACCCTGAAATTGCGGTCCGTTGACGAGGCTCGAGATTTGGGTATCATTATGATTACCTTCAAAACCTCAGCACAGTGTCAGTATGCCGCCAACAAGGCACAGTAGGAGCTATTCTGCCTCAACAGAACGTTATGCAACACCAAGCCAAAGGTTTTCCTCCCGTTATATAAGGCGATGGTACGACCCCAGCTAGAGTATTGCGTGCAGGCATGGGCGCCGTATCTCAGGAAGGATGTGACCTGCATAAAAAAGGTCCAGAAGCTGGTGACTAGGATGATCGAGGACCATTGAGGGAAAGTATAAGAAGAACACCTAAGGGGCCTAGGATTGTTCTCTATGGAGCGGCGCAGGGTACGAGGTGACCTGATAGAAACGTTCAAGATTATGAAGGGCCTCAGCGGGATCAAACCCTCCGATTTGTTTGAACTTGCTGCATCCGACCACCTACGGGGGCATGAACTTAAGATTAAGCATCAGAGGTCCAGGCTGGAGATTAGGGCCAAGTTCTTTGCAAATCGGGTTGTTCATAATTGGAACAAACTTCCTTCTGTCTTAATTGAAAGTGCCACTGTAACAGCCTTCAAATACGGCCCGGACAAGTGTTGGCCGGATCTATTCCCTGAATTATTGCAAATTTACTGGTCATTGTGATAGAATGTTAGGTCTATGATCCAAGAAAGTACAAAGGTTGCTCTTGTCTTGCTTCATTACTTTTGCATAGGCAAGGAAAACAACTCAGAAGTCGAAGTACTGGGGGCGTTGGTTTGCTTTCCGGTACAAGAAACAGGACGCTCGTTAGGCGGGAGCCTATTTTCGTCCTTGGAAACTGACCTGACTTGGTAATGTCGAATTCATCGCATCACCCGTGGCTACCCGTGGCACCATATCCGTGAACTAGTGACGGCTGCTGAGGTGGAAACCGTCGGGCGCGCAAACTGTAAGCGTCCCGATTGGTATGATGTCAACAGTGCTACAATTATCGCATTAATGTTGGTGAAGAATGTGGGATTCATTGCACATGTGGCGGACCCTGCCGACTAGGGAAAGGAGAGCCAGTTTCGCAAACTTCGACAGTGACTGACTCGAGAGCTCCGTCGCACCAAGAATGCATGGTAGACGGAGAAGGCGGAGCAGATGGAATGCTGTACCGAACGACGCTAGCATAAGGAATTCTTCGAATCCTTTAGACAGTGTGTAGACCCACGTTGCAGCCGCTGAGGATGCTGGTGGATGCTACTTCAAACTGCAGACATAATGCAGATCTGGCAAACGCATTCCGACTGTCACTTGAACAACCGTTCAGAGATCGACTGGGCTATGTTGCACGGGCTGCAACAACAAAAGACGTAGACGTGCCTTGCCGAAGCACCGACATTGGATAAGACGCAGAGAGCACTTGCTCAGTAGTGAAGTGGCAAATGGGCCGGTGCCGACGGGATACCGCCAGAAGTCTTGAAATGCGGCGGAGCAGCGTTGATACATGCGTCGCACCAAATGGTGCAATGAGTGTGGTTTCAAGAAGAGGTGTCGGCTGGCTTGTGCTACCACTGTACAAGGACAAAGGGGAACAAGCAATGTCTCACGAATTATCCTGGTATCAACTTGCTGAGTTGTGTGGGCAAAGTGATCGCATGAGTCCTACACAATCGGCTCGTCAGTCATTTTGTGAAACCGAACGTGGCGGAAGAGCAATGTGGATTCCGTTGGCGTCGAAACACCATCGATATGGGGTTTGCGGCTCGTCAGTTGCAGGAGGAATGTAGAGGACGACACTAACCGATGAACTCGCTGTTTGTTGTTTTCACCAAAGGCTTTGTTTAATACGGTGATACGGTGGGGCACTGTGACTGGTGTTGGGGAAGTTCGGTTGTCCGAGTAAATTTGTAAGTTTAATTGAATGTCTGCACAGTGATATGCGGGCGAGGGTGCAGCTGAGTGAACAGAGTTCGGATGACTTTGCAGTTGTCTCTGGTGTGAAGCAAGGCTGTCTTAGCTCCTGCCCTCTTTAATATATATCTTCATGCAATGTTGTCTTGTGCTTTTGATGCCGCTTGTGCTTACGGTGTTCGTGTGGAGCACCGTATTGATGGTGGGTTGCTGAACGTCCGTCGTTCCGGTGCGAAAACTCTAGTCTATGAGACAATTATCCGTATGCTGCTGTTCGCTGACGACTGTGCGTTGTTTGCACACAGCGCGGATGAGTTGTAACACATGTTGACGACTCTTGCTTCGACAGTGGCCAAATTCGGACTCACTATCAACACGTTACGTTACCAATACATGGTCAAGATGGTTTTATTACTAACTGATGTTGATCTCAAATGTTGGGGATGAAAAGTGGTTAACGGAAGCGAATGGCGTAAGCTGATCAAGATGGCGGTTGCCCAAGTACAGGAGGAAGCACTGTTACACGCAGCAATGAAACGCCGGGTAAGGAAGTGACAGGCGCCGAGCGTACCAAATTGACGTCGAGCGCATGGTGATGTACCACACGCGGTCGCGAATGCCTGAGCCAAGCGGGCCCGGTGAGCCAGTAGCGTGTCCAGCATTCGAAAGAGGACGAGGCAGTTGATTATCTAATCAACATAAGCGCAGCGATCAGTAAGTAGGCTACGTTCATTTCCATTTGAATTACTAACCCAGACCAATAATGCGGTTGATGTGGTACGTGTGCTACATCATTGTTGTAGTTGGTCTGTACATGTGCCTGTGTGCTGAGATTGTTGCATTTCAGCAGTTAGGTTGTCGTTTGATACACCTGGTGCGGCTGCGGTTGATGTGAATGCTGACAAGTGCCTAACTGTCTATTGCCCACCACCTCGTCTATACTGCCTCCAGGAGACTGTAACGTTGCTGGTGGGACGGGGTTCCAGACTAAAAGAGTGTTTCCATGCATCCAGTGTAGAACGAGCTACAGCCCAGCCACTGTCTTGGGCTGATACGCGCAATTCCCGAATTAGATGACAGGAATGCTGCTACTTTGCATGTTGAAGGAGTGTGGACCGGCTCCGTTGATGAAAGGTGGTTCCCATCCGCATGCCTCCCGGTCCTTCGGGGTTACACTGGATATGGGGTGTGTGGATGGAGCTGTGGGTAGTGCAGCGCAAACCATATATGGTCCTTCTGTAGGCGCAGGCGTCCTGTGGCTGTCTTATGGGGCCCACAGTGACAAGCCACTACGGACACGGATGCCGCCAATCCATGCGTGCAGCGGATAACTCACCTTCTGCTTCAAATGTCGAGTGTTGCAAGTCGTGACCCGGTGGCTTGGGAGTAGCGGTCACAAATAACATCGAAACGCGTCATAGGAATGAGTGTTTTCGAGAGGGCAACACCCAATTTCTAACTACTGAAGCAGTTTGCCCGAGACAATGAGGCGAAATCGGTGTCGGGAATGAAAAAATTCCGGATTTAGAGAACGTGATGTTTAAATGCACGGAAACTAATGACCATATTCTGCGTGCGTGCTCGATAAAACTTCAAGGGCGTCACACGGATTCATACCTTCTCGCAGCCTTACACCATATGTGTTGAAATCCAACGGCATACTTGAAACTGGGCTCCGATTTGGACCATGGTCTGTGCGCTGCGTTTTAAACACTTAGGTAAAGGGGACTCTAAAAATATGCAGTGACCAACCACACAGGACAGCTGATGTGCTGACGCTTTCACGACTGTCGGACATCAGGCGAAATGACACACTGCAAAACGATGAAATGACAGGATTTAAGCGAGATGTGAACTCGCACTGTGCTGGATTGGGTAACGAAAAGGCTAGGTAGTTTGGATATGTGGAACGGTTCAAAATTAGAGATCACAATCCGAAGAATGAAACGAACCATCAAATTGAGTTCGAAGGAGACCCAAACACATCGTATACCCATCAAAATCGTCGATTCTATTCAGTGTTTCGAGTTTGCTTCTATTAGCCATGACCAATGTACATACGTGTTAACAAAGCAGAGAAGTACATCTGATGTATTTAATGGAGTATAGGGCACAACGTCCAAAGATCGCGCACATTTATCGCTTTACAGATTGGGAGAATGTCAATGACTGATATTTCCTTTGAAATTGGAGCGCCTATATGTACTAAGAGTTACAACAACCGGCATACTGACCAACTGAGTGGCGATTTGTACTAAGGGTTATGGCGATCAAGGAATGTACATTCGCCCAATATGCTTAATTCCACCCTTACGAGGAAGTACTACACCCAGCAAAGCTTCGATCCTGTGGCATAGGTATGGTGAAAATCGAAATTAATCACAAATGCCAATAGGTTGTGCGTTTTGGTATGTCGTAATGTGTTGCCCTGGAACTTACAAGCCGAAGATGTGTGGGGAAAACTGTGCATCGTTAGTTTATATCGTTGATAGAAGGGGTTGCGTTGGTAATTAACCTAATAACGAGCTATAGGTAACTAACCTCAGAATATGCCTGGAAGGTCATTTAATGGCACATAATTTCGCTTTGTACGGTGGTATCAAAGATATCTGGATTGTCGCGAATGTTGAAAACAAAGACTCGATTTTAAGTGAAGTTGGACTGAAACCAATGCAGTTGTTGAGTAGAATGAGTAACGGAACAAAGAAGCCAATTAATCAGTGGAAGTACGAACCTTTGAGAGGTTGGGCCGATCGTGCAGGCCAGGCGGCCGGAGAAACTGCTTCGTATACTTGAAACCAGGATCGGTTTCTTCCAGAACAGACATGGTTTTCTTTCCAATCTTTTCGAGTACATTTACACCTTCGTAGACAAGATTGAGACCCTGGCCGTAATAAAGCAAAACACGATGGGAAATGTGTCTCGACAATACGGAGAGTGGATAAAACAACAACAAAAGCAGCAATAAATAAGTACTTTGGATTGTTACTTCGCTGCCATACAAGCAGTGTGCAGTGTGCCAAAGCATGGGCAGACTGAGAGAGACTGAGACAGGGATTCAAAGCCGAGCATTCGGATGTTTTAACAGCGGCCTTGGTTGCATAGAATATTGAGTGCCTTGCAACCGCTCGTTCGCTTGATTCCGGAAAAATATACATTCAAGAGTTTGGTGCGAAAAACGAACATCGAGATCAACACTAGCGGCGGTAACTAAGGAGAAACCCTGCGACCGGTGGCCGTCTGGGGAAAGAATTCGTTCACATGACACACCAAACACATACGATGAACATTATGTCACATCAGTCTTATGTTCTTGTAAGCCAATACGTTCTGTGAGCGTTATTACCACTTATATTGGGCACGAGGTTGCATAAAAATGGCCGCTAAATGAGACGATGGAGTAGTAGTGGTAGTACAAGCGGCAGTCTGGTGAATAAAGCCAAACAAAACTATGGAAATCACTGGAAGAAGACAGGTTTAGCACCGCATCATCATCATGGCACGTTAGCTGAAGGTGAGCAACACACTACAGCTATTGCGCCGCAATAAAAGAAAAAAAACAGGAGCATTGTTTGTTATTTTGCACACGCCATTTATTCATTTCTTTGTCTTTTTCAATCAATAAGTATTAAGCATCTAAATCTAAACAAGTATGTGCACGAATCCTCCACTGGTTTCGATTGCGCGCCATATTCTGAATTTTAAAGCACTGAGTTCCCTTTATCATTCAAAATAAGAAGGAGAAGACTGGTATTGCGAGATGGAACCATTTCGTGTTATCTGCTCACCCACAAACTAACAATATAAATATAAGTCACGTGACAGAAAAATCGAAGGTTTGAAGCTGGTCACAAAGTAAGATTACGTAGACGCAAGAACAACAGATCGACGAGCTTGAGCTTAGGGTCATGAGCCCCAAGAAAGCTTTAGGGAGACTGTTAGTTGTTTCTGTACACAAAGGATAGGGCGATGCTGGTTAACTGCCACAGCTTCGGCGAATCTCAGCTTTGGGGTTCTCATTTCGATAGATAACTGTAAATGTTGACCCAGGGTCAACCTGATGGTCTGTTTCGATTAGATGTCTGATGATAGATAATACCGGCAGCTTAGATACTTTTTCTTGTTCGGCTGCTGGTTGTGTCGATAGCTTGGCAAGCCGTTTTGGGATATGCTCGTTAATGTGCTTACCCAAGGATCGATCCTTGTTATGTTAGTTTGCGTTGTTAGTTTATGCTCCACACTCACTGACGCTCCGTACGCGCACTTTGCTAAGTACACGCGCCTGACGATGTCACCTTTATGTTAGTTTGCGAGTGAGCAGATAACACGAAATGGTTCCATCTAGCAATACCAGCATTCTCATTGTCTTATTTAGATATTCTGAGTTGTTTCTAGCCATCAACACTCCTCGTCCTTTGGTCCCCAAAAAGGCAGACACGTGGATCCAACAGCAGCAAGAGGTGAAGTCAACGGTTTCATATGTTTCCGCCAGGTGGACGGCCGACCATCACGTGGTCTCTTCCGGCTAAGTCCTGCGCGAGCTAAAAGGACACAATGGAGCAAACGCTCAACTGACATGCGCAGGACGTGATCGAACCATTTTAACTGTCGCAGCAAAATCAGCTTGTTGGAGGGAATACTCGCATCCCCTAAGACACGAAGACTGACTTCACTGTTGCAAATAAGTTGCTGTCACTACATACGAGCAATCTTACTCAAGCACCCATTGTCGAAGGCTGAAAGCCAGGGCGTCGTCTACGCGAACTGGTCATGACTCGCTTCCATATAGCAATACCGCCCGATCAGTGACCTCGTAAGCAAGACCCTTTACCAAGAGATCCAAAGTTGACAAACGCCAACCGACCTTTGGCGATGAGGGAAACTTCGTTCGCAATATTGCCACTAGCAGACGCGCAGCGGCCCAGGTAGACAAAGCTGTCCAAGCTGTGAGCAGGGGAACGGGTGAGTGCCAATCCTGAAGCCACTTTCCAGTTTGACGAAGCAAAGCACATTCCGTACTCAGAGACCTCAATCGCCAAACGATCTAGGATGGTTTGCACGCTCAGTGAGTCATCTCCAAGTAAGGCGATGTCATCGGCATAACCTAGGTCGGTCGCTCGATTGTCCGGTAGTGACTAGACCAAAGGTTTGGTAATCGTCTAGAGCTCTCGACAAGACGTCTTCAATCGCAAAGTTGAGAAGCAACGAGGATATAGGGTGACCTTGTCGTACTCGGCTATTGAGAGCGAATGAGGAGGAAAGCTTGCTATAGACCCTCGCTCTGCCAGAAATATGGAGGTAGGGTGCACGTAGGATGGCAGTGTAATCTTCTGGGACCCCGTTCCTTAAGTAATGAACGCAGGTCGATCAACCGAGTCGAATGAAGCACAGATGTCTAAGAAAGCAACGGTGATAGGCCTCTGACAAAGGTGGAGGTGTTCCAGAATTCGCCGGAGCGTGAATATTTGATCCAGATGCGACATCACTCTTGCTCGGAAGGGCAGAATTTATAATGCAGTCGTCCGTTCAACCCTCTTATACGGTTGTGAAATTTGGCCCCTCAGGTCGACAGACATAAAGATCATTGCTGACTCCGCAGCTTAGCTCATGTCTGGTGGGAGCACCGAGTGATAAATGAGCGTGTTCGACGTCGCGTATTTGGTACAGGAAAAGCTAATGAACCGCTCGGCACCATTATATCACGCACTATGCTCCGATGGCTGGGCTACGTGTTGCGCATGCCAGCACACCGACACCCGCGTCGTGCATTGTTTGCGCGCCAGGGATGCGGTTGGAAGAGGAGGAGAGGAGGCCAAGCGATGACTTGGTCGAGAGAAACGAAAACCTAACTTCGAATTTATCGTCCGTTGGTGCATCCCGACTGCCTGGCTGGGGTCCCAAGGGAGATGAACACGTTTGGTTGGACATAATTGCTTATATGGCTAGGAGCCGGCCCCAATGGCGTTTGTGTTGAGTTCCTTTGTCCATCCCTCCTGCTTAGCCTCCTCCAATCACGATCTCATTCGTTAGGTATAATATAACTCTTTTTGCGGCACGGTAGCCGGCTTTTAGCTCTCCGGAACGATGTCCATCCGTTACTGGGGACTCAGCCGGCGTGCTACTGCTGTTTTTTCTTGTCTTTTGTATTGCGGTACAATAGCAGAGGTGTTTTACACCTGTAGCTAACGTGTATCATGACGATGATGATGAATATTTGATCCACACATCCACGGCCAGATCGGAAGCCAGTCTGTATTTTTCGATACTGAGATCCACAAATAGGAGATAGTCTACGGAGTAGACTGGATACCAATAGCTTGAAGGCAACCGAAATAAGACTAATCCCCCAGTGATTAGCGCATGAAGTGCGAGCACCCTACTTAAAAGTCTGGACAATAACTGACTCACCCCAGGAAGAAAGGATCATTTCTTCTTGCCAGATCTTGGGGAACAATGAGGTTAATTGGCTAAAGATAATTGCGCCTTCCTAAATGAACGGTTCCGAAGGAAAACCATCTGAGGCGGCAGCCGTGAATCGTTTTAAGTGTCAAATCTCTAGACAAACTTCCCCTTCGCTGGGTGGATCAAGTGTGACTACCCAGTGCACGCAGCCGGGTTCGCAGGGCATTTGTGAACGGTGAGGGCCAATTGAACTGGGAATGATAATGTTCAGCCCATCGATCCAAGCGTCTCTGTAGGTTGGCAATCAGCGAACCATGCGCTTCGCAAGTAGGCTCACTGACACCAGGCTTTCTGTGGCCAGTGCATCGAATGAGCTGGAAGAGCTTGCGAGTATTGCCAGAGAGGACAGTGGCCTCCATTTCGGAAGCACGCTGAGACCACCAAGCTTAACGATCACTGCGTAGGCTTTATTTGAGCTACCAACTGACAGAACCGCGCACTTCATTATGAGTAGACTACACAGGGATTTCTGCGACGGTCAAATAGATCCAAAGCGCGTGGAGATCCAGCCCTTCATAGGGTGCTGAGTAAGCCCACAGACTGACTGCTCGCAAGCGATGTTGATCCTCTGCATGAACTTCCAGTGTTCATCAATGTGTCGCGGTGGGTCGCAGCTGAGTGCATTAGTCAGGGAAGACTGACAGCTTTGCTGAACCGAGAGAATAGGTAATTTATGCTTATCAATCTTACGGTGCTCTGTTTTGGGGGACCCTCCGAAGCTCATGCAGATGTTCACACAGACAACAGCATAGTCTGAGTAAATAATTGTGGACCAGATTGATCTGCAATCTTTTGCACTACCCCCTCCATCTGAAACTGAGTGCACAGAAGTGGGCTGCCAAGTAGCGGTACGTCTCTTCGAATGACGAAAGTTGGTGCTCGAGAGAAACAGACGATTGTCCTCGCACCGTGTGAGGAGTGTCTATTCATTATCTCAGCGGCTTTCATCAAGCGCATGGTGAACACCGAGGTAAATTTCTTGTGAGAATAGACGACCGACTCGTGCGTTGAGATACCCGGCAAAAACAACAATGTGGGATTTACAAGCTTTGCTCAAGAGTTGGTAAAGTTCACGGTAGAAGTCGGGAATACAGTCAGAGCGTAAGCCAAGATCACAAACAAGATGTGTCTCTCCTCACGATATCGGTTCATCTTGCATCATCCCCGAAGCCGAACTGCACACAGTCGGCTATTAATCGGGAACCGGCCCAGCGTTACTTAGCGCTACACCAACGGCAGCCAAGCATGCCACAGCTGCATCCGTGTCACCAGATAGATGTAGGTGAAATATGGCTCTGCAGTCGGTGGGAAATCTCAACTCAAACATAGTAATGGGATCTTGCAAGCGCGTCCCGGAAAGACAGCAAACATCGGTGGCGAGGGATTCCAAGGAGCGTGTAAGACCAGCCTGTTGCCCAATCT